GTGTCATGTACGTACATGCCATGGCTGTTGTGGACCAAACGCTGAGGGCATCATGTCATGCCCATTCCCGCGCTACTGGCTCGTCGGATGGAGGTTGTTTTTCTCCACTAGTAGCGGCTTCATTTATATGGTAAAGATTTTAGGCAATGGTGCCTAAAGTGAAGGTAAACCTTCAAAATTTTAATATTTTTATAAATTTTAGCAAAATCAAAGCTTATAGGTGCTATATGTCGCTCGGAAACTACCGATCGAGCCGGGCGCAAACAGGGGAAACTGCCGGTGCGTGCCAACAAGCCGGTGCGTACGTAAACTTGACAAAATTTTTACCCGTCGCTGATGGGTTAAAATTATATATGAAACCAAACACATTTCTATATCTATATCATGCAAAAAGAATCAATCACTATCTTTAACCAATATCTTTTTATGATGTAATGAGTAGGAAAAGGTGGTCATTTCCCAACTCATCACATCATAAAAAAATATCAAGGGGACTGTCCCGAGAAACGACCACCTTTCCCTACTCTGATGGAAATATTTCAATCCTTACCTATACGGTTATGTTCAAATGCATAAGCAAGAGCACAAACTTTGTTATCATAACTTTGAAATCCTTACTTGCAGAGCTGGAGTGTAGAACAGATCATGGATTTCTCCCGGCTGGACAGGTTTATCCAGGATAACCTCAGCTTCACCATAGCCAACTGTCAGCTGGAATATTTGAAAGTAAAATTAGCAATGTTGCAGTTTTGCTTGTTTTAAACTTAGATCTTTGCTTGAGTGAAATTTCTATTCAATAAGTACATATATTTCTTCCACCAAATAGGCATGGAAGAAATGTAGGTTATATGAGAATCTAACTTATCATTCTTATATTTTAATGAAAGTGTGACAATCATTCTGTTTGTAAAAACAAAATCTGAAAATAATCAGGGAATTCATCACATAATACGAATATCCTTTTATAAAATTAAGCAACTGCACTTCACATAAACATATAAAATGGAGAAAAAAGGTTCCTTAGTAAATGGTTTTGGATGTAGTTCAACAGAAAGGAAAGGTGACTGAATATTTCTTGAAAGCCTCAATACTCAGACAAAATTAAAATAAAACTTAAGGTATCAAAGAAAATGATAATTCTAAATACTACTCACAACACTATTACTATCAATACTACAATGATTATATCTTTATTATTGCTTTATCATTACTAACAATACTTACCATATCAATATCTATTAAAATATAAATAGAAAAAAAAAGAAATTAAAAGAAAAACATATAAAGTGCTATTTCTCATTCTCCTGACCATTTTTATGTTTGTTTTTATTGATCATAGTTCCTTTAGCAAAATAGAAAGGTTGTCTCACTCATCCAGGAACTAACTGATACATGACTGGGCACTAAAAATAAGGAGTCACTTTCACTGCCTATCTGTGTCAGTCACTGCTTCGTAACTCTACACTAAGGAACTGTACCACACCAATAGCTTCCTGCATTCTTGATACTTACTTGAACTTTAAATACTGAATGAATAAGAACAAGCAAGTCATTAACTCAGTGCCTCTGGCAGAACTTTAGGTTTGTTAGGCCTTAGCTCTGGGCCGTATGCATGGCTGGCTGGGCTTGCTGTAGGGGCCTTTTTCAGTTGCAGCCGGTATGTGCCACACCAACAAAGTGTTATGATTTTTTTATCACTTTGCTGCAAAACATTATTCTAATGTTTTTGCATATTCAGAGATACATGATATGCATTCTAGTTGCTAGATCAAACCTGCAATAGCCTGATTATGTTCATTTCAATAAATAAAGTATGTACAAGTTCTATTAAGGGGGGGGGACAAGGAGGAAATCTCATTTTTGCTTATCTTATTCTTACGAAATAAGAGATAGCATACAGTTATATCAAAGGCTGACTACCACAGCTTCAGTATTTCAAGTCACACTGGCAGAGTGCTAAAAGAAGATATGAGTAGTTGACCCAAGGAGACTAATCTCATTAACTAGAGTGAAAATTACAAGTTCACATCTGCAGCAAGAGATTGCAATGTTTTGGTGTGTGGCATCTTGTGCATGGCAGGCAAATAATTTATATGCTAAAATTTGCCCTTTATACAAAACAATAGTCAATCATAGCATTACACATGCTGTTCTCCCTTCGGCAATGCCACAGAGGATGTGTTGTGGACATGAGGGTTCCCTTTAAAGAACATCATAAAACGTAAGCAAGTATCAATGTAACATAATGTGAATGATCTGTCGCCAAGGGCTTCGCCCAAATTGGTCATAACATGAATGACCTGTTACCTGGAGCCACAACCAAGTCAGCCATGACATGAGCCCCCAATCATCCAGAGGCTAAGGCTTAATAATTATGAAGTTACTTCTGAAGTTGCCCCATCAAATCTCTACATGAATTAATGACAACTATGTATATTGGTATTCTCTTCATTACTTATAAGACTTCATAAGTTGATGCAGATAATTAAGGGCTAAGCATTATAATTAGATACCTGACTAAGAAATTTAACACTTCTAGATGTAGTCTGATCACAATCGAAACTCAAGTAATTTAGGCTAAATAGACTGGCTTCTTCATCCAAAGGATCTTTTCATTACTTTTCATTCTCATACTTTTTCAGTAAAGAACTATAAAAATAATTACCATTGGATTCCTAAATCATTCTCCAAAAATATGAAATGTTCACTCCTTATTCAATTCTAAGCAATGCAGTCCATAAAAGCAATGAACTCTGTTTACTAACACATTCTGCAAGCCAATTAGCTTATGGCAGATAACCTCTCTGGCCTATTTCAACTGAATGGACCACAGAAAATGTTAGTTTTCTCATATAAAGTAGAAAAAAGTGTGTTGGTGAGTGAATGAAATTAAAATTTTTATGAGATTTAATAGAAACATTAAACAGCTAGGCCTTGGGTTAAGAAAGAAAGGACATCTAGCATACACAACATGAAATATAGATCCATGCATACAAAGGAAGGATTACTGATGGTTTACCTTCAAAAGAAGAGAAAATATCTAAAGTAAGCAATGCTGGGTTATATGTAATTAAGTAAATATTTGAAATAGGCATCACCAAACCATAGAGCTCTCTCAAATCAACATAAGTAAAAGTTTTTCTAATAGGATGCATAAAACTTGGATGAAGGTACTATAGGTGAATGAACTTCTATAGATCCAGCCCTTATCACCTATGTCAGTCGAAAGACCTATGACAAAAAAGTTAACATTTATATATTTCATCTTGGGACATGATAACATTTCCATATACAAAGACTTCTTATTTAACATAAAGAAATATAATAGTTAATTTTCAATCCTAATTCCTATGCTCTTATTTTACAGTCTCACAATACATATGGCCAACTTCCTAGAAGGAAAGAAAATAAATACAAAATTTAAAACAAATAAACATTTCATCTCTTACAAACTTCAGATCAGGAGATAACAAAACATACACAGGAAAACACAAATAAGTAGATTTTCCATTCTATTGGATGTATCTAACTTGGGTACAACTAACCCTCAGGAGGCAGTTCTGCTTCTATTAGTTGGTAATGCAGTACTTCATCTTTGGACATCGCATCCAGACCTCAATATGTCTTCCTTCTCTTCTATGGGCTCTCATAATTTTTTCAAATTGTTAAACTAGAAAGACCAATCTCCAAATTATTTGTTCAACAACAAACCCCATTTCAAATATAGCAACAGACCAATAAGTCAATGATTTTCCATACATTAACTATATGCCAATCTTTTGAATGAAGTGTCACAATGAGCAACCAAAAGCATCACACGAACACTGATAACCCGTTATTAAATTATCTATTAACAATCCACATGAAAACTATGTAATGGCATTAGGAAAAGACAAAAGCTCACAAGCAAACAGAATCCCAGAACAACACAAAATATAACAAAAACAAATACCTAATAAAGGTAGACTCAAACCCATTGTAATACTTTCCCACTCATGAACTGAGCTTAGTTTCAGTTACATCTGACTGAAGAAGAAAAGAAAAAGAAAAAGAAAGAAAAAAAAAGAGAAAAATAAACAACTTAATTGAAACTAATAATAATAACAATAGTAAAATATCCTCCCTATTTAAAAAATATGTACACTAACCAACTGATACCTGTACCTACATTCCACAGTTACCATCTTACAATTGGAAGGACAGGGCTCAGCCCAACCCTTACTCTTCTTGACAGGTTTGATCAGTTTACCCAAGCCACAACTTCCTAGGTCATCTCATGGGCTCCCTACACCTAAGGTTGTCTCACATAGAGATAACCTAGTGGGCAAGACCATCCTATGGGAAACAAACCAGGTGCCTGTATAGCCTGAGTTGGTGGTCCTGGACTATGCAAATAACAGGTCCTGTACCAGTCTCACTGTGTAACCATTGGTTGGACACGTGGTCTTGCCAATTGTACCCATGATCCAGCAAAAAGGACCTGTTACAAAAGGCATCAAGATGAGATTCCAAGGCACAGGATAAGTTCCTGTTTCCCCATCAATGAGTTAAACTGCTAATATCAGGGTCTTGAAGAAATGTAGCTTGGTCCTTCTGCACAGATACCACATTTTCAAATACTCTTGTCGAGAGAGATCATCATCCAAGCTGCCAAGTCAATCTGTCTTCCTGATCTGACAGCCCAGAGACATGAACTCCACTAACAAGATATGTAAAACTCTCTGTGACTTCAATATCTCCCTGCAAGCAAGGACTGACTGAAGAGGTTCTCCTAGCAAGCCCACAAATTCCTGATCTTGGTCTTGATCCAGGAGACTAGACCCAGGGGCCTTGCTTCATTGCTAAATGCATCTAAAGTCACCACAAGAGACTTGGATAAAATAGCAACATCATCAACAAAGTTAAGGTTGGTAACCTTAATATTGCTCAGCGTTGCTCCACAATGACTTTGAACAGTAGCTCTACCCAGTATCTAGTGCATGCATGTGTTAAAAACTGTTGCCTCCCTCCTGATCTAACAGGGAGAATCTCAACAGGTCCCTACCACACTTTACAGCAATTTCAGTTCCAGCATATAGACTTGCTATTAATTCAATACTCCTTGTTCGGGCTCGTCTCCATCTCCAGATCTCCCAGAGTGATTCACGATGCATTGAGGTCGATGTAATCCAAACTCATGACAGTGCTCTACAGTGACTCGAAGCACCAGGGCTTGGTAGGCAGGAATGGTCTTGGACCTCATCTGCAAGATTCCTGATAAATTGTTTCTTTTCCCTTCTCAATAGTGACAGAGTCCTGTGCACCAGAGAATAATGCAAGTCACAATCCTCCAGCCAGTGGTAACAAGAATGTGATCAATGATCAATCTCCTTGATTGATCATTGAGAGGAATTCCAACAAGAATTACTGAATTAATAACAAGCCTGTATATTGGTACTGAAAGAACTGTAAAGTGTGGTGGGGGCCTGTCGAGCTTCTTCTTTTCCTGCTAGTGTCCTTGCACTAACACTTTTCAACACTTGCATCGACTGGATACTAGGCAGAGCTACTGTCCAAAGTCATTGTGGAGCAACTCTGAGCAATATCAAGGTTTCTGACCTTGACTTTACTGATAATGTTGCTATCTTACCTGAGTCCTTGGAAACCCTAGTGGTGGTTCTAGATGCATTTAGCAATGAAGCAAAGCCTGTGTATCTATAGGTCTCTTGCAC